TCAAATGAAGTTCTGCTTCGTCATTGGTCAATGGCCGGTTTTATTCACTTCCGTCATAGGGTGTTGCGGTGCACATGCGACGAAAGATCTGCAATGTTTCCTCCCTTTCTTCGTTTCTTATTCGTTGATATCTCGGCCATTGTTCGTTAGCTTTTCGGAAAATACAAGTCTACGGTAATTCAAGGCAGCGGAGTATATTAACGTTGAAATTCATATTTTGGTTTATATTCGATAATTTTGATGAATAAATATGCATTTTTAATGCAAACATTGGGATATTTCTACAATTAAATATACTACAATTAACAAGGTAAGACGGTGTTTGTCTTGTTTTACTAGATAAACTCGACTCCTCTGCTCCCTGTGAGCTAACGCAGGCCTAGAAAATAGGCCCTCCCATGCACACACCCCTCCCTTTGTCAAGGACACACCCCTCCCTTTGTCAAGGACACACCCCTCCCTTTGTCAAGGCTGGAGGGTGCACCTCCCCCTGCACAACATCGTTCCCAGCGGTGTAGAGGAGGGAGCATGGGAACCAGGTTACCTCTTGCACTCCCCCAGTAAATTTATCCCAGATCTAAAGACCCTAAAGAATACGACTACGGGCATATTTGCGCAAGTCATACCACTCAGGTGAATATGATGTTTGTGATGTTACTCTGAGTGTGCATCCACACCGGGCCAGCTGAAAAGTGTGCTTGACCACGGTGGGAATTGAACCCGCGACCTTTGGGATACTAGTCCAATGCTCTACCAATTGAGCTACGAGGTCAAGTCGGTTCGAGTTGTTGATATTTCGGAACTGAGTCTAGTTCTTTCGATATCACTACTGACTAGTATCCCAAAGGTCGCGGGTTCGATTCCCACCGTGGTCAGGCAAACTTTTCAGCTTGCCCGGTGTGGATGCACACTCAGAGTAACACCACAAACATCAAGTCATGGCATGTTTTTATGACCATCTTCCAGGCAGCAGATCAACTATGATACAGACTAGAGTACTTACACATGCCAGGAGCAGCCATTGTTATCCGAGATGTAACAACTTGAGTAATTCCTTTTACCGCCGCACGTTGTGATAAACCCAGTTCTTCTCCGTCCTGGTTGTATACTTTGATACCGTTTATTAACTCACTGAAAATGGAAACAAATTATTAGACATTATGGAAAGTTTGGATCAAAAATAAAGTTTCGGTATTTTTAGTTATTTCAGTAACTGGTCATACGGCCTATTGGATGATCACTTGTCTTTGTTTTATAAATAGTTTTAGTGAAATAGTACCCCGTATTGAAATAAAGTAAAATAATTATTTGTTATTTTTGAAATTTTGGAATTAGTATTGAATCTTCTAGTAAAGAACATGCCAATTTCGCCTTTCGCATTCACACGGGACGCATGAAGCCGGACGCGTTCAAGCGTACGGAAGCCTTCGGCAAGTAGCCTTCGGCAAGGCCCGAATTTTGTAGGGAGGTACGTACCTCCCCCGAGATCGTTTTGCACCTTCCTTGAAAAGTCATGCACCCTCCGTTAAATACATTGATACATATGTACACTACATACATACGTCACATACACACGCAAAAATCTCACATCTTATCATCAAGATGTGTTCGCAACTGGCTTGTTGCAAGCTTGTCAACAAGTTGTAACAATGCTGTTATTTTATCAAGTTGCTACAAGGTTGTCACTCACAACTTGTTGACAAATTGGTGAATTGCAGGGATGATAACAAGTTGCTGGAATAACTTGTAACAAGTCTGTTGAGCCCAAACAACAACCTTGTAGCAAGATGTCAAAGAGTCGTTGACAACCTTTCAACAAGCACGGAACAAGCAGTGCGAACGCATCCTGTTGACAAGTTGTTGGAACAGCATTGCTGCAAGTCGAAGTCTACTGCAGGTTTGTTACAACTTGTGCGTTTTTACGTGTGTAGTTGACTTATAGGGGAATACAAACATCCGGCCTTGGCCTTCGGCCCATTCACACCAAACGTTTAGGGAATTTGCATGACAACACATATAATTGAACAAGTAGAACTGACAGGAGCAAGTGGTGCAACTTTACTTTTTTGACCTCTTGCACCAGTACGTGTACTATAAAAAATTATATCCGACAATGAACACACAAATTCAAAGATGCCCAGCTTTCGTGGCAAGGCAACTTGCCCAATAGATCAAAACAAAACGTTTACTTGTCCGTCATGATGTTCACTTGCGCCGGGCAAGTGTTAAGTTACACTTCTGAAGTTGTGACAATGGTCTTCCAACAACATGTCAACAAGATGTCTCCGCAACAGGTTTGTAGCAAGCTTGTTAACAAGTTGTGACAATGTTGTTCCAACAACTTGTCAACAAGATGTCTCCTCAACAGGCTTGTAGCAAGCTTGTTAACAAAGGTGTGACAATGGTGTTCCAACAACTTCTCAACAAGATATGTTTGCAATAGGTTTGTAGCATGCTTTTTAAAAAGTTGTGACAATGTTGTTCCTGCAACTTCTCAACAAGATGTCTCCTCAACAGGCTTGCAGCAAGCTTGTCAACAGGTTGTGACAATGTTGTTCCAACAACTTTTCAACAAGATTTTTCGCAACAGGTTTGTAACAAGCTTGTTAAGAAGTTGTGACAATGCTGTTCCAGCAACTTCTCAACAAGACTTTTCGCAACAGGTTTGTAGAAAGCTTGTTAACAAGTTGTGACAATGCTATTCCAACAACTTATCAACAAGACTTTTCGCAACAGGTTTGTAGCAAGCTTGTTAACAAGTTGTGACAATGCTGTT